AAGAAAAAAGCTTTATTGCTCTCCAAATAAGCTCATTCTTGTTGTTGTTTAAAGGTATGAATTCCTGCTTTATACATTTATGTTTAGTATGTTTTAAAACCAATTTTCCAAACTCAGAGTGATTGTTTTTATGAAATCTGAAGTGCTAGCCTTTGTATCTAATGTAGTGACATAGGTGAATTCACCTATTTCCAAGTGGAAGAAAAATACTGGGAGTGGATGAAGATACTGGAGTTACACCAGCTGTGTACCATAGCTCTATTTAACATGACTTTTGAAAATGGGAGGGAGGGCTCAGAAATAGGTGCCAAAGCTGAAAGCATTGTCTGATTCATCACATTGTAACAAACATTTGCCCCCAGTCAGTGTCCTGCAGAGCAGCTCTGCAGTGGTGCCACCACCCTCCAGCTGCACAGCACTGTGTGGTGGGGCTGCACTGCCTGGGCTGTCCTGCTTGGCAGCTGAACTCCCTAACAGTGGCTTCTGTTCCAAAACTGAGCACTGAGGTGTGAGAAGATGCTTTTTACTTGTGCCTATCAGATTTGTACTGATTTTGATTATGAAGTGTGAATGGGTGTAGGTTTTAGGGTATTTTGTAACTGGCCAACAGTGCATTGGTTTTTTTTTGCCCCATAGTATCAATGTTCTGGCTTTGTAGACCACAGGAAAAATTGCTGCTATTTTATATAGCCAAATTTTGATTTCTTTGTGGGTCAGTTTGTTTGGATTTCTTTTGGGGTTTGAGGGGTCTTTGGGGGGGTTTTGGTTGTGACTTAATTTTAGTGCCTTATAAGTACTCAGTTGGAGGAAGATGTGGGTTTCTCCAGGCTATTCTGTCCTGGCCAGTAGGAGAAGGAAGTCAAGGCTGTGTTTATTTGAGGTTGGTTAGAGCAAGTGGCTGTGGATAAGAACTCTCAATGTGAATCTTGATACACAGAGGCTTTGGTTCTGACTGGAGTGGCAGTTTTGCTTTTAATTTTAGCTGGGTTAGGTTGATAGGCTTTGTAAAAGGACTGTTTCGGTCACCTGGAGAGGAAATCAACAGCAAGTACTGTTAGTTCCCTCTTCTGCTGCTCACAGGTGAAAATGGCACAGTCATGGACTTGATACAGTTGAGTGTAGAAGTGTGGAAACGTTTTGACCCTGTAGCCAGAAACAGGGCTCCAAACCAAGCCTGTGTCTCGTCCAAGCAGTACTTAAAATTGTTACTTGAAACCTTACTGAGCTTGAGGAAAAAGAAAGTCATTTTCTTGAGGCTTGTGTAGGGAGTAACAGGGAGAAATTCTTGAACAGTTACCAGTGGGAGGCATAATTTTTATATGCTTGCTAAACCAATGATTTTATTTATTGATAGACGGATGTTTGTGGTCCAGATGAAACCAATGATAAAGCAGTAGCAAGAATAAGCTTGGGCTGTAACTCAGTGATGCACATTGTGTGCAAGTGAAGTACCCCTAAAATTCTGCACAGGGGACTGGTAGCAGGGGCAGAGTTCCATGGGGAGACACAGCCAGTGCAGTGTCTGCAGTGCTGCTCGAGCCTTGGAGCTGTGTCAGTGATCCAGGAGTGTCTGCCACACCGTTCCTGGCTGCACCAGGGGTACAGGAAGGCAAGTGTTGATTCTCAGGGTGTGACCTGCCTTCCTGCCCCTGTGAGGGAAGTGGCACAAGAGCCATTTCCCTGTCCCTGGGGCAAAGCCACAATTTAGCCCAGTGCTTGTAAGGTAGTGTGCACAGAGCAAGAATGGTTTGGTTAGCTTTGAAAGGGCAATGTTAAAACAGCTAGAGGATATGCAAATTCTTAGTGTTTCACTTATGTACTGATGATCTTTAGGTATGCACTGTGTTTTGTTTTTTCACTTTGATTTATTGGCAAACTTTGTATGTTGTGATTGAGTACTGCAGCTGTATCAGTCACACATAATTGCTGTTACTCTTGGTTTTTGGTTGTACAGGCTGCTGAAAATAAAGCTCTGGCCAACATACTGTTCAAAGTGATGTATTTTAATGAGTGATTACTTGCTTTTCAACAGCTGTTTATCATTTCCCTGGTGCTTATTGTATGGTCACACACAGTGATTACTGGGAAAAGCTGCTGTCTGGGTAAGAGACCTGAGGCACTGTCAGGTGGGTGGGAGATGAGGACCCTGGTGCTGCAAACAGCCTCGAAGGAATGTCTTTGAAGTCTGTGAACCTTCACTTATCTCTGCCCTAAGACACACCTGCAATAAAAGAAACACCTCATAGCTGAGCCTTTAACCCTTCAGCTATGCCCCACTAGCTCCACACAGCCTCATGATGCCAGTTATCCTGATTTCCCCCCCTTCTCCTTGTCTCATTCTTTCCCTGTGATGTTTTGTCCAACAAGGACAAACCCCTATTTTGGATTTAAGTGCTACCCATTGACACGGGTAGTTGCTTTATTCTTCTCAGTTCACACTAGCAAATCTAATCCCTGGTTTGAAAGAGCTGGCACAGAAGTGAGAATTGAAGACTGATTGATTGCACTCTTCAGCCTGAGGAGTTTCACACCCACCACTTGATAAATGCCTTCACAGTAGCTCTCTAGTGGGAAGAGTTCCTGCCCCTCCCCTGGTCACAGCTGGTACATCTTCTTCCAGCACTCTCTTTCCAGAGTGAAGCTTCCAGGCTTCCTCCTGAAATCCAGGCTGCCACATGCCTTAGGCCTGCTGACCAGCAGTTCAGGTGCCACAGCCCTGCACTGCTTTAATCACATTCTGTGTTGGCCCTGCCTAACACTGCAATTCACAACCCTCATTTGCTGCCCCAGCAGCAATTCTGTACCTTCCCTCCACCCACATCACTGCTCAGGCATTTCCCTTCAGAGACCTCCTTCCTCCTTTGCTTGCCTCTGGAACAAGAGCCAGGATTTCCTTAAATCGCTGCATTTTTACCTGTGTTTCATTATCTCCCCCCACCAAATGATAATTGCAGATTAATTAGCATACTTAATCAGCCACAACTAACATGTAATTACACCTAGATATAATTATTCCAGTCTGGTATAAACACTCGTACAAGACTTGATAAAGCTTAACTCTAAGTGAACCAGAGTGTTCCCAGTGCATTTTTATGGCCAGCCTTTGCTAGCAGGACACAGCTCTCTGCTCATCTCACTTTCTCCATTGCCTCCAGGCTTTAATTTCCTGCTCTGCTTTGCTGCAGCAGCTCTTTTTCAAAACCAGCTCTTCATAGAGTGGTACTGGTGGACCTGGGGCTACTCAGGTGTGGTAACACCACCCCATAAGTGGTATGTGCAGCCCCTTTAAGCAGCATCATTTGAAGGAATTGTTTGACCCTGAGTGAGCTGTGTGTGCCAGTAGACTCTCCTTGGGAGAATGTGCAGGATATGACATCCTCTTCTCAAACATGTCACTTTCATAAGGTCCAAGGTAGAAATAATGAATTATTTGACAGAAAATTTGACTGATTATTGCCTACATAAGTGTGTTTTATTAGCACAGAATAAGACTATAATTGTTTCCCAACTCTGAACTTGCACACCAGCATGCTGTAAGTATTTTCATCTACCCTGTCTCATTCACCAGCATCTCTGCCATTTATTCACTGATTTGGGCTTTCCAGCACCATCTTATGTTTGGAAAACAGTGATTCCTTCAGAGATATCTGAACATTATGGAGCAGAAATCAAATCACTCCAGTTGTTTTTAGCAACAGCCTTGAGCCACTCACTGGGGAAAGTGGTCCCGATTCAGTGGGCTGAAATTATTGGCTGGATTAATCTCATTAGTCTTAATGAGTGTGGAGGTGAACAGAGCTCTTAAAAGCCTGGTTATTCCCTTAAAAGCACAGCTGTAATGTAAAAAGTGAGTGCTATTTGATCAGCGAGATGCATTTGAATTGCAGGTCATGCTCAGTGTTCAGATTGGATCTTTATTCCTGGTGGAAGTGTCGAAAGCTGATTTCATCATGCTATCTCCATCACAGGACAGGTAACTTCTGCCTGCCCCACTGAAAGCTGCTGAGGTACATTCAGCCAAGACAGATTTCTAACTACTCTCTGGAGATCCAGACAGCCCTTGCAGAGCTGTCAATTTACTAATCCTGGCCACAAGTAAAGGTGAGGTTGGAGAGCTGTCCCAAGGCCTCTCATTAGTGTAGTCCCCACCTGCTTCACAGGGTTTTCCCACTGGTGATTTCAAAACCCTCTGCAGTCAAAGTGAGCCTTCCTTCCTCAGATGGGGAAATCAAGACATAGCTTGAGAAGGTGGTTTTTGTTCAGGGCCATTGAGCAGTCCAGTACCAGCACTGGGAATGAGCCCAGGCAGCCTGATTATCCATCCACCTCTCAGTTTCTTCCCAGGCTGCCTCTTCTAACTTGGTGGAAACTACCTACCTACACCTCCACTCCAGGCAAATTCCATTTCACAAGGTACAACAACCACCTCAGCATCTCTGAATTGCCTCAAAACCATGTCCTTTAACCCTCCCACTATCCCTACATGGCAATGAAACAACAAGATCTCCTCAATTCCCTGGGAGGGGAGAGGCGTGTCAATGACAACCTCCCCGTCCAAGGAGGTTGGTACCTACCATTGTGGTAGGGCTGCCAAGTGTTTCTCAGTCCCAATCCAGGACTTTGACTACATGATTATCCCATCTGACACCAGTTGCAGTGACATTGCCTCCTGCCCTTTAAGTCATTGTGTTCAGATGACAGGGAATTGTCTGCTTCTTGGCCATATCCCAGGAAAGACAGAGTGCAATTCCAGTAGTCTCTCTCTTGCACTCCCTGATACTCCACCCTGCTCACCTCTTTCTGGAGCTCTGTCACTAAGGAGTTCCTCTACCTGGGCATAGCTCCCATAGGGGTGCTCAGTGCTGCCAGATGGTACTGGCACAGGAGCCAGGCACACCCTGCAGCTGGCTCTGGGGCAGGAGTGTGTTCCCACTGAACTCTGTCTAGGCAGCTGCCTCAGTCATGATG